GCAGTCCGGTTGAGAGATATGAGGCACCGATTAGAGGCCTGAAATGTGGATGAAAGTGCACCGTTGGTGTTTCACAGCATGTCATGCAGCTACACTTTCAGCCACCTTCTTGAGTTCCAGTGCTGTGTTTCTGTGAGAAGATGCTGGTGTCTGTGTGACTGTGCTGAGGGGCAGTCAGCTTCATCCACTTGTACCTCTGCGGGTCAGGACAGTGCACCTGCGATCAGAAGGTCGCTGGTTCAAATCCAAGAGTGGAGATCGGGAGGAGGAAATGGATTCTCTTCTGAGACTGCTGCTATTTCAGCAGCATTTATTCAATATATCTTACCTCAATGTAATTATCATTTATACGGTATAATTTAGATTCCAAGAAAGCAGAAAAAATGTTATTAATTACTCATTCAGAAGACTCTAGTCCAAAGAAACTGAGGCAGATTTAACAAGCAACAAATTTTCAAAGAACAGCTTCCAGTGCTAACCAGAAACAAGTGAATGGCCATGTAGAGAAAAAAGCTATATGAACCTACAGCAGTCTGCCAGGTTAATGTTTAAAAGCACCGTGTTGATCATTGAAATTAGTCTCAATTTTTGAAACATCTGTACGATTTGTACATAACAATGTACCATCACAAGAATATTGTCTAGGAGTCCTTGGTAGTGAAGGCTATTATGAAACCATACCATAATTTTTGTTTTACCACAGCTAAACTACAAAAACATATAAACATAAAGATGGATATACAATGCAGCTATGATACACTAAGGACAGGTTTCAAGAATTTCACCGTGCGATCAATAAGGTATATCTTATCTTAGATGTCAATAAACACAACCAACTGTGGCCATACTTCTTCAGATACAGGTCACTGTCCGAGGATCTTTATGATTTCACACTTACTGATGAGCCTAAAAGACCATAAATCGAGAGGAAACCGTAATCGTTGAGATACTAGGTGGATCTTTCTTCAATGCAGTATATGTACACTGTATTTTCACTGTATGTACATCCTGTCCCATACACCCCCGCCCCCCCCCAGCTGATTGTACAGCTGGCTTCCCTTGATTAATGATTTCCAAACAGCTCTGTCTATTCCACCCTGGTGATGGTGTAGCTTCACTCACAGGCTGTTCCCAGTGGTGCTGGTGTGACTGTGTGTCTCACAAGACAGTGAGAATGAAGTTAAGCTCAAATAAGCTATAGACTGGAAAAAAAAATATTATCTGAAATCTTGAAACGTTCAAAAACACAGGTATAAACAAGTCTTGTGATTTCCAAGGATTGCAGGTTCCAGTGATTCTTCATATCCTATGTAAGACAAAGGAGCGCATGGACTTGACAAACCAAGTCACCTAAGTCAGTTGACAAGCCTCTTCACTCACCTGTTGCCAATTATTAATTTTATAATAATTGGTGGTAAAATTTTACTTGAGGCACATATAATACACTATTACACTATTACTTGTGTATTAACTAACCACAAACTAAGTCTTAGTTACTGTACATACTGATCTCATGTTAATTCATCATAAATGAATTGTGATGCATGTGTTATCTCAAGCAGTTACTGTATTTGTTATATCTGAATCCTGTAAATTTTTGCGAGCTACTGAAGGAACAAGTCATGAATAACACGTTAAATACTGATCTCATATTTGTTCATCATTAATGAATCATGATGCAACACTTATCCTAAGCAGTTACTAATTCCGTAAACCTCTGTTAACTACTGAAGGAACTACTGAAGGAACAAGTGATGAATAACACAAGTGAAATACTGATCTCATGTTTGTTCATCATTGATTATATATTTGTTCATGATTTGTACTATAGTAATAACTGAGTTAATACTAAGTATTTGTACCCCGTCAGATAAAGCGTTATTAAAACGTGTTTGCCTCCTCTCCTGTCCCTGCCTGGGTACAATTCCCTGAATGTAATGCCTGATTTATGCTTCTGACATATACTCAGAGGGCACTGCTCGCCAGCTCCAGGTCACGTACACAGTGCCGTACAGAGAGAAGCCTGATGGCACGCCACCCAATTACCGCATCTCCGGCACCCGGCCGCTCTCAGGCATTCCAGCCAGTGATTTATCTCGAGTCAAGGGGCTGCTTGCTGATCTTTCAATTAACACGCCGAAGAAACCGCTGGAGGGAATCAAACAGAAAGATGCGTAGGCCACACGGCGGTCCAGGTGGGCTCACGCGTGCTCATCTCTCTCCCACAGTCGCCAACTAGCAAGCCGCGGGTTTGTTTTACTGCGGACCTGAGGTGACAATGACAAATATCATAAACCCAGACCAGCACGAGATACCCTCCTATTTATCCAGTTTAATAGAGCTTGGGGTGAAATTTCGGATCAAATGTCTCTCCTGGGGCAGCTTGGAATTTAATACTAAACAGAAACAGATATAACACTCACATTTTACATACTTTCTGTTTTTCATTCAGTGCCGTCATCTACATACAGAATATTTTTGTGAGCCAAGAAATTTGCATTTTGTGTCCCTGATTGCAATGTCAATGAGCAAACAAAAAAGCCATACAGTACAACAGGGAATGTATATACTGTATATTTAATGTATATTCTTGTGTATATACTGTATATTTAATGTATATTCTTGTGTATATACTGTATATTTAATGTATATTCTTGTGTATATACTGTATATTTATACTGTATATTCTTGTGTATATACTGTATATTTAATACTTGTATTAATATTTACTAACTCACACTGTGTATACTGTATCCATATATTCAAAAAAGAATATACTCAGTAACATTAGTGCCAAATAAATCAATCCATCCATCCATCTTCTACCGCTTATCGGGGTTTGGTCACGGGGGCAGCAGTCTTAGCAGGGATGCCCAGACCTCCCTCTCACAAAGAAATGCAAAAATGAAAAATTAAATTGCTTTCAGCTATCAAAAGCCTGTCACACATATATAAAAATGTTAAATCTGAAACAGTCGCACAAGTTTATCAGGTGACTGTGATCAGTGCAGTTACATACAATGCTTTCAATGCTGGGAATTCATGCATGTAGCTGTTGCCTGTGAAACGGTTTTTGCATTTGACATGTAATTATTAGTGTTACTCTGCAACTAGGTTACATTAAGTGTAATTAAGTGATATTTGAAAGTAGACTAAGAACTATGGGAAGAGCTAATATGCTGTTTGCATGTATGCAAAATTAGCAAAGGTTAGTCTTGAGTAGACCTCACAATAGTGCTCAGTGCAGAAATTATGCAAAGTGAGAGTCATATTTGTGCTGCAGGAATCTGGGACATTGGGGCAAAGTAATTCCCAGTGTATTTGGAGAGTCCCAAACTCAAATCAAAGTAAGAGGCACTAAATCAAGTACAGAAACCTTCTGTAGTCAAGTATATCCCTGAAATAGCACGCTCTTAGCGTTACTAGACAGACTGGTCTGTCCGAGATAGTGCTTTGTTACACACATTTGTCTTTACTCGTCCCCTTTATGCTTCAAAGGAGATGTAAACAAATATCTCAGGCAGTCCCTGACCAATGCATCTACACTGTTTATTGGTGTGAACACTGCAGTAATTTGTTTTGAAATCAAGGCAGCAAGGTTTGCTTTACAAGGTTAAGAAACTAGACTTTAAAATCGTAGGTTAAATCCTAGGATGATAACTCATCTTCCATCCAAATAACATCCTGAGACCTGAGAGCTGTGGTTCTGACATTTTTGTCAGAGACATATGGCTTTTTATATATGAATCCATATATGAAGAGTAGGTCACCTCTCACGTGTGTGATATAAAACAATAACTATAATTATAATACTAATAATAGTAATAAATGCAAACTTCACAAACACATAAATGGGAAGCATTTGATCTACATGGATGACAGGAGTCAGCACTGACTTCACATCATCAAATAATAACAATAATCAAATGACTATATATTGAAAACACAAGTCTTTTACAGGTAAGATTAAAAATTGTAATGTTTAATCATGTCAACATCTTGTTGGTCATCTGGTTAAACACTGCAGTCTGTGTCACATACGTAAAACAAGCTTCAGTATTTAAAAATTAACACTACATAGACACCTGCTCTTCTAAACAGACATAGAGATATAGCCTGATAATTAATTATATGTGTTCCATATGGAAGTGAATAGCTCTTATGTGGCAACTTGATATAATATACATGACCCATATATTTTTGTGAGACTGCTTGAGCCCCCAGAAACCACTGAAGAGGGCCATCATGTGCGTTGATGGTCTTACTATTATTCTGTTGCAGGGGCTTGGCTGTGCAAGGTGAGCATTGATTCAGATATCCTTGGATCAATTGATGTATCTTTCAAATACACCTTAAAGTACGACATCTCTTAATTAGAAGAGAATATAGTGCAGATACGGGACAGGGCTTGTAGCCAAATATTCTGAAAGTAATTGTACAAGAACTGGAAATGTTCAAATCAAGACTGGGTACAGTACCATGAGGGCAGTGTTTAATACGGGGCGATGTGTGGCTCTGCAGGTTAGGACTCCATAGTCAGTGTTGGATTTAGTGAAGACACTATTAAGGAGTCAAAAAAAGTTCAAATCCCATAGCTGGTAAAGTGATGTCACTGCTGGGTCCTTTAGCAAGGCCCAATTAGTCCAGGGATGCTGTGTAACCCTCCTTTCTGACCCTCATTGTTTTTTAATTTGGGTAAAAGCATCTAAATAAATCAAGTGAAAATGCGTGTGCCAGTTCCCAATCCTGCTACGGTCACCTCTATAGCCTGGCTGTTTCATTTTGTGCCGTGAGCCATCACCGTTAACTGAATGAATGAATTGCACTATTTACGTTAAATGACGCCAAGAGTGTAAGACTTACATACTTAGTTTGTCTTTACGAAGTTGCCTATCACGCCCAGAAACATTCTTCACTCCTAGTCCGAATAACGGAAATGACGGGTTCAGAAGAAAAACTACAAAATCCAGATTCACCAGCTGCCAGTACTTCCTGTTTTTATCACATGACTTTTCTCAGTTTTAATCATGGCGGAAGCAGTGGAACAGGTAAGCCTTTCAAAGCAGAACTGGAATGTACAGGATAAAACGTTTAATTTACTATTTTCTTTATTACTGCACATGGATTTTCTTTTATTTGTTTTGCGATATATCTGAATATTTATGAAGTGTTATATTTTAGTAGTTGTGTCACGTTAGCTACAATGACTGGTCATATTTTGTTTTATGCTCCTAATAACGAAGAAAAGGGAAAGACGGTATTTGAAAATACCTGTGTGGTAGCGAAATTATTTATTTGTTTGCGAGTTAAAGTACTGATTCCAGTTCTAGGAGGAACTCCTCCTTGTAGGCTACTACTGTTTGGAATTTTCCTAACGTGACAGGTCAATATATGTGATATTCAGGACAAATGCATAATTGTCCGATTGACGCATCATCATAGACATGAACGGTTGCAAGCTGCATATCGACTGGGACTCCTAGCAGGCGTAGCACTGGCTGTACGGCTGGCTTTCAGCCTTCACGGCTACTCCACTTAGTGTTCAGTGCCTGTATTAATTGGAACATTTTATGCAGTATTAAAATTGTCCCAAAACATTGGGACATTGCTGTTTCCAGAAATATAAACCATACGGTTCTTTGGGTAATAACTGATGGATGCTGGAAGACGTATACCCGCGAGCTGGAGGGATCGAAACTGTCAGGCTTATTAAAGTCTAGCTATTTCAAAGGCATACATGTTAAAATTGTAATTATAATGATTCTTGTTGAATAATAATTCCACTTAATACACACTGTATACTGGTACAATTATTTTTACTTCATCTATGAATTTTGAAATGTGTTAAATGTAATTAAAAGCTGAGTTAAACATGCAAATGAATGGTGTCCTTATTACAGATCTCACTCTTTAACATGTCAAACATCATAACTGTTAATGTACTTTCTGAGCACTGCCATGACTAAACATGCATGTAAAGGTCTCTGGCACATTGGAAAGCTTCAGTTATTACTGCCCCGTCATTTTGAAGAAAAAAAGTATTGTGTTTCAAAGGTTTAAGGGTAAATTCCTGTTCTTTTTTAGGGAAGGAAACCAAGTGAAGATTCCACAGATGAGTCAGAGGTAGGGATGATTTCTTTGCATTACTTTGCATTTGTTCCCACAGTAAATATTTCAGATTAGGAATCTGTTCTTTACTGGGATGGCTTATAAATACTCATGCATTTACTTTCTTGGGGTCTAAAGGACTTGGCAGTATGACAAAAAATGTGGTGTGAATCAATCATTTTACCCTATGAGTTTGACATTTTTATCTTCGCAATTCTTTAGACCTTTGTGTTGGTAGAAAGAAATATGCCTGTAGCATTGACAGATTGACAAAGAAGTATTCTGTAGTAATATTGAATCTAAGGTTTTGTTGCTTTTAATGTGCATGAATGAAGTTTTTTGTACAACGTTTTATAATGATTTTTAGGTGTAAAAAGTTTTTTTTTTTTCTTTCCTTCAATGTTTGTTGACGTAATATGACTTGGGCCCTAGGAGTCACTGTTTATTGTACTGCAGCAGGCAGGGAATGCATTTTCTGAAGCAGTTTCCATGGCAATGCCTTATAAAGATTTCCAGCATCTCAGTGGTCTCACACCATGTGCCCTGGAAACACTAGCTCTGTCTAAATGGCACGCTCAGGAGTAGGGGTGGGGTGGGGTGGGGTGGGGGGTCACCTAGGCACTGCCACAGCACCGCAGGACCCTTCCGGGTGTCCGCTTGCTGTGCGTGTGTGAAGTCACAGGTGTGTCTGCTTATATTCCATTTCGTCCCTCTTCTTCCTGTCACGAGAGGTGTTTACCTTTCTACTCCCTTTAAAGGAGCATCCATCTGTGGGCAAGTGGCACTAAATGCGGCCATTCTTTAAGTTTATGAGCGGCAGAGTAAGATGTTTTTATGTAAGCCATCATTAAAGGTGTGTGAAGCCCAGGACAAGTGAATTTTTAACATGAGCAACTGATATGGGTAAAGCAGGAGACACAGGAATGACACACTCATTTCAATATTCCATCTTTTTGGTGTTTGATCAATTTTTGTTTGATATTATTCATTTTGAAGCAGTATTGAATTACAGAAATGTTTTATGTGGCTTTGAGTTCTTAATGTGGATCATCGCTATAAAAACATGGAAACAGGCTTATTGCAGTTTAATATTAAGATTAACATTAAAGTACCATTTAAAATATGGTAATTATTATTTAAAAACACCATTCTTTATGACTCCATAAAATTCTCGATCTCCAATACACATTTTTATTTTTTTTTTTTTTTTTTTGCATCTGTTGTCTCAGGTGTTGAATGTATAAGATTTATATGAGACAATCGATTGTTCTTTCTAAACCGCAAATTTGAAGATGCATTGTGTTTTTGACTGACTGATGTCCTGCATTGTTCAATTGCTGTTTTATGTCCAGAAACACATTTTTTTCTCTCTCTCCACATACTCAGTATGGTGGCGGCGTGAATCGATCCATTTTTTTTTTCTCTCCGAGATGTGGAGCCGCACCAATCTAGTTAATCCGGGGTATAGGGCCTGAAATGATGCATTGTGCTGTCTCTCGGATCGCGTGAATCCGCGCTCCCCGTTTCCGGGGAGAGACCGCGGCGTCCCGTGGCGGACTGCCGGGATGCTCGAGCGCTTCGGTGTTAAGCAGCTGGATCCAAGGTCACGGCGGCTTGGTTGCCAAGATCAATGGTTTTCTGAGTGAGCGGCGCGTATGCGCTGCGTGTTTGCGCAGCTGGACTGCGCAGCTCGGCTTGTCCGCGTGGTATTTGAACCAGCAATCACGGAGATGCGCTTTGTTATGTTAATGTTACTGTGTATGCCGTAGCCCGTAGCAGCAAGTATGGATCTTAGAAATGAGAGTTGAAGTGATTTTTAGCGTGATTGTTAATGATCGCCTACTCTTTTTTTCTTTCCTTTTGCGCTGTTTCCCCAGTTATAATGTAACAAAAAGGCAGTTAAAATTATTATTTTTATTTTTAAAGTCTCCAGCACTCTGCTCAGTTACCCATAAAATTTCACTCATATTTATTTTGATTTTTTTTTTGTCCTCCTATAAGTAAAAAATGTGCTCTGGTTTTGCCTAGTTGTCATAGAAACGCCGCCGGCCTATCCACACTGCACTGATGGCTACGTTTGGATGTTTTCCAGGATTATTAAAATTTAAGTTAAATTATTGATCTCTTTTCTTTTTTTATGCTCACTCAGTTTACCCTTGGTACATCTGTTGGGCTTTAGCCAGGACTATAATCTGAGTATTTTGATTTTGAACTGTCAACTTTAAAGTGGTATCATTGACTCTAAGCTGGTAAAAGACGTAGGTTTCTGTATATTTTATAAAACAAGTGACTGGATTCAGAGGGTAATGTGCATCAGATTTCCTCAGTTTCTGAGCCGGTTGCTGTGAGTTCCGGAGCTCCCACGGTCCGTTTGATGTTCTAATTGGTTCACCTTGACGACGGAACCTCACGCATGAGCCCATCTGATGGAAAGAAAGGATTGGGAGAGTCCCCGCATTGTTCTGCACCGTTGAATGCTCCTGTTACGACGTGTGTATGAAGTGGTAAATAAAATATAACATGTCAGATCAGCAGCGGATGGAGCTTCCCTTTTAGTGTTACACAGAATGGAATGTCAGGAAGATGCGCAACAAACGAAATTCAGCCCTAAAAACAATGCAAAATAAATAAACAAGTTTCCTTCAAATGAAATCCTGCCTGTGGCTGAGATCCCCCCCCCCCTTCTGAAATCCACAAGTGCACCCCCTCTGCACACATGCCCTGGAGTTTGAGAATCTCTATTTTCCATGCAAACCTAGTTTACTTTGTTTTTATTTTTATTTATTTTCTGTACGGTTGCGTCCGTGGTTTTGATTCCGTTGCCTCTGTGACGGAGGTTTTCATCACACTGACACAGGGTGGAGACATTGTGGGTTTGCTTCATGATGGCAGGATGTCTGTAGGGGATGAATCGTCTCCTCTTCCTCTCTCCTGCAAGGTAATTCTCCCTGTTCCAGGCTAATGTCGAATCTTGATCAGGGTTCGGTCTGTGTTGCTTTGAGTTGTGGAAGGAAATGCCCTTTAAAAAAAATCACACTTCATTTTGGCAGATAAATCTCTAATCTCTTGGAAATATTTCAGAATAATATGCTCAGCCAATATGTCTCTTCTCATGCTGCAGTAATAATTGCCACTCGGAGCCAAACGAGTGGATTCTCATCCTCACACAGCTAGAGGTTCCCAGAGAAAAATAACATTTCAATTTTGCATGATTTGTGTTTCATTATGTAAAATTTTATGCCAGTTATGTTCATTATAAGCAATGAATAATCTTAATAGTAGTTGTTTTGCCATTATATCAGCTAGTTAAGGCACAGTGTGTAATCTGTGTAATCATAGACATACAGCATGTGATATGCTATATTTGCAAGCTAAACTGCATAAAACCTGATTACTTTGAAAGGGTCAAACACATTGCTCTTTTGTTTCTCTGTATCTGGCTTTTTAGAGATGGCTTGTTCATTTTTTGATGTCTAGGATTCAGATTAAGGTAAAAGTATCTCTTGTTTTGAACATGTCCTTGAGATTTCTCTAGATCTCCTCATCAACTAGGGGCATGGAATAGTCACTCAGTCCTCCACTGTGCCAGTATATAATGAGTTGTGTGTTCATTTTAAACATTGTAAGGATATTCGAATAGCAGTCGTAATTGCCAGAAAAATACTATGGGTTTGAGTTATATCTGACAATATATTTGGAATGCATTTGTGGGGGAAGGGGGAGAATGTATGAGTGTGTTAGCACTTTGCTCCTGTGATCAGAAAGTTGCTGGTTCAAATCCCAGGCTTGGCTTTGGGCCCCTAAGCAAGGGCCTTAACCCTTCAACTGGTCCAGTGACTGGCTGCCCTTGTTTTTTTTTTGTTTAGATAAAAGTGTCTGCTTATTAAATCTGAATGCAACTGAAAATAAGCTATCAGTTTTCAAGCGTAAGCAGAGATCATTTGTTAAATCAGGTGCAGATTTCATTAAAGTCCTATCAGTAAAGAGGAACCTGATCATGATGTGTGTTGCTGGAGCTACTGTTCAGAATGTTTCCATTCCTCAAGTGAAGGAGCATCTGGAATTGTAACTGGTCACGTTTTGCTATCATCTCTCACTAACATCAGTATTGTAATGTAGAATTGATGTGGGGCTGATTTAACTTGGTTTTGCAGCAATGCAGGTTATGTTTTGAATGAAAACAGCCTTAATGTGAAGTAGATGGATAGATAGATGGATAGACAGACAGAAGAGGTCTGCTTCGTTTGTTTGCTTTGGTTCTCTCTCTACTTCAGCTTAAAATTGGGCTTGCTGGGAATGATGTGTGTCTGTCACCCTAGTGAAGGGAAGAGAAGAAAAAAAGACAGTTTTACCCCCAGGCTCTATTTAAAAATAGGAAATTACACTTATCCACTCGTTGAGCAGATGGAAAGCTATAAAATGAAGAGAATGCAAAAGTTTAGATGAATAGTTATTTTCGAGAAAATAAACTTTTTTTCTCTCTCTCTCTTTTCTCCCTCCCTTCTCCTGTAATGGCTTTGTAGACCATGACAAATGTCCAGGCATTAGAAATTTCATGTCTGGCAGAAACAGGAAATAGACATGGAGTTGGGTGAGAGCAGAGAAAATGCTTTTGAAAATGAAACCTTTTTTTTTTTTTCCCCGCGGTGTTTCATACTGGTTCTGATTACGGCTACCTTTGTTTTACTGAAGCACCTCAGAGACAGCTCTGCATCCTTGGATAAGCAGGCAGGATTGTGCCAGTTAAGCGCGAGTTGGCCCTGTGCTTTAATACTGGGGAAATCTTATGGTGTGGAGCGCCCTGTCAACAACACAGTGAGTCATGTACGATTAGCTGGAGTCAATAAGTAATATTAAAGGGTCGCAGTATGGATCAGGAGGCAGGATAATGGAAGGGTGTTTATATAGACAGGGGATGTATTGGACCTCAGAGTGGATTTGACCAGAGTATAGTAAAGCTTCCAGTGAGGTATGGGATCAGGTGAAACGAGGGGGAGGCAGATTTGGGATAGAAATAAAGATGAAGGTGTGGATGGTACTGGGCTGAAGCTGTGCCCCCCCCCCCCTGTGTTTTGCCTCTTTCCTGTTTTAATGTGTGTCTGCTTTTGTCTTATGTGTGATCACATAAGACACAGATCGTGCATCATAACACAGTTCATAACACAACTACCAAGGAAATTTATTTACTTTCACCATGGCACCAATGTCAGTGTGATGAATGTGTATTTCATAGCTGTTAATCCATGATATTTAAACAGGTAATGCACATTTTTATTTAATTTATAGATTGGGAAAATACATACATACACTGATTGCAGGTCATATAAGGTAAAACAGTGAATCCAGAATTTAAAACATACACTTTCAGATATGGGTGAATCGCATTTGACATTCCATGGCTAAAATAAGATTTTAAGTAGTTGATCAATGGATGGATGGATATTGGTAGCATGGAACTTATGTAAATACTGCAAAAATATCGTTTATACTGTAATACCTCCAGCAGTACATATTGAACCATGACTACTGCAGTGAAAGTCAGATCAATACTTAATCAAAGCCTCAATCAAGCCGTGTTAATTAGAATCTCCAGGAAAAAAATAAAATAAATGCATATGATGCGGAATGTGTCAGGAGAATAGGACTGGGCTATGCTCAACTTGTTCTCCCACGTCACACTGGTAACGAGCCTGTCTGTCCCATCGGTGTCTTCCAGGAGGAGGAGAGCGAAGAGGAGCCCAAGCTGAAGTACGAGCGGCTGGCCAATGGCGTGACGGAGATCCTGCAGAAGGATGCGGCCAGCTGTATGACGGTTCATGACAAGGTGTGACTGCTAGCGCCGCCCTTCTGGTGTCTGGGTGGCTTTTTGCATGTCTGTCGTAGCCATGCTAATATGCTGTCTCTACATTGACCAGTTACAGTAAATAGAATTGTGATACTCCTCACGTAACGACCTATCCGTTTAACGACCGCCCGGACTTGCATTATACGGTGTATGAGGACGTTGGCCGTGGAAATGACAGCCGCGGTGTCTGAGCGTCAAGCGATTGTGCAAATTAAAACAAAGTAATCATCCTGGAGTTTCCTTTAGTATGGAAGATTATAAGCACAAAAATTCAAATGGCAATTCATTTGACCCCCCGCTCTGCTGCCTAATGAAGGTCCACCTTGATGAGCGGTCTGACAGTTGGGAATTGCAAATTGAGTCCCCCCCCCCCAACATGCAATGCAATTGCCGGGGACGCCATTGCATTTGAATAGAGAGGCAAAAAACCCATGGCAATACGAGATGCAATTCAGTGCCTTGTTATTCTATTTATTATTCAAAATATTTTGA